TTCAAACCCATGAATATTTTCTGAAATTTGTGAAAATTTTGAACTTGAGTTTTATAAAGAAAATTTGTGAATATTTTTCAAACTCATGAACATTTTTTAATTCAAAAAATGTTTTTGAACTCGCAAATATTTTATTGAATTCGTGTAGTTTTATTGAACTCGTGACATTTTTTGAAATTTGTGAACATTTTTTTAACTCGTGAGCACTTTTTATATTCATGAGAATTTTTTGAATTCATGATTTTTTTTGGAATTCGCAGACAAATGAAAACACGGTCGAACATAGACTTGACAGTGTCCAGCTGTCGGTTAGACCACGTGAGTCGGGCCCCCACTTCATGAAGCTCATGGAGGGCTGCATTGTTTATAAAATCATTAAAAGCAGAGGCCCTAGACCACGAGAAGTTGACATTGTTCTAATTCCCATGTGCCTGAAGGAGGTTAAAATCGCACTCAATAAGAAGCGGGAGATTGAAAGTAGAAACCTTAAATGCAAGCTCATCTAAGAAAATTTGAAACAGTGAGTAATCGGTCTGGCCATAAAAAACAACAACTTCCCAGAACTTATAATGGATGGATGCAAAAAAAACCATGCTAGCAAAGAAATCCCCACAATCAAAAGAAACAAAATAAAAAGCATCAGTCTTTGCCCAATTAGGATACCACTGGAGTGAACGGTTGTACGCAACCATTTCCACACAAAGTAACCAGCACCCGCGATAAAGGACAACTCATTTACAGAAAAAATGATAGTTTTCTGGAGACAAATAAGATCAATGCGCGCATCACAGACATAATCCTTTAATTGCTTCCAGCGCCCCTCGCGCTAAAACTCCGTATATTCTAGAAAAGAGCCCTCATTTGAAGAAGTGTTTTTTTTACGAAAACCGGCCCTGCTAGAGGCCACACAACTTTTAGCTTTTTTCCCTCAAGTGCGGATGGCAGGGGCGGGTGTAGGCCAGCCACTACTAGCTCGGACCCCATCGACTAGAGGCATATCAGAAGAAGGCGAGGTAGCAGTCACAACTGTTGCTCAGGCTTTGCCCAAAGACACCTGAGCTAACTCACTGGCCCGAATCACATAAAGATATTTAGATGGGGACCCGGAAGAAGAATCAAAGACTAAAGTGGAATCAAGAGCAACCTTAGTGAAATGCAAGTTTAGATGATCTGGAAGAATAACACCTTTGGGGGAAGAAGATGAAGAAGTACATGTAGGGCGCGATCATTCTTTGCAGCGCAGTGTTCTACGCGCATAGTCACCATTCACCATTATCAAGAGGGGGATGACTCTCGTGTGCCATGGAGACAAGAGTCTTGACGGGGACAGAGCACCCTAATGGCGAAGAGGAAAATATCTCAGGCAATTCATCACCAGCGACCTTGCCAAGATCATGACCGAGCTTGCGGTACAACCCTGCCAATACCTGCTTGGAAGCACAAGAGATACGACTGCGGGGTGAAACTTTCCTGACAATGGTTTTCTTCTTCGGGATTGGCCCAGAAACCTCAACATCTTTGGATGGGTGTTCTGGAGAATCAACAATTCCAAAAAGAGAAGGGGGAGCTGGGCAGGCCGGTTAGTTGGAGCACACAACAGACATAGGGTTAGGGCGGTTCCCCATCACGACATTGGCACCCACCATCGAAATGGCTGACGCATCACAGGTCTCTTGGAGCAGCAGAACCACCATCCCTAGGAGCACGACTACGATAAAGTTGTTCCAGAGTGGGTCCAATGGCATCCACTCCTACTGGGAGAATGGTGGTTCAGAATCATCCCCACTCATACTGTGATTGTTGGTATTATCATCATGTGATGTAGGCGATGGAGGAGGAGGGGGATTTTGATAGTAGGTTGTCCCTCCACGCGAACATTGATACAATATGTGAAGGTGAGACGAAAGAATTCCACAAATACACGCACACACGCCGAGTCAAGGCTCAACACCAATTGGTTTCCCGGTCAACTCACATAATGCCATCAGGGAGGCAGAATTGCAAATCATAGCAGGAACATCATCCAACAGGACCCACGATTCCACCAAGGACCCTAAAGACTTGTCACAATAACATGCTCTTTTAACAGAGATCACTAATTAGTCTAGCGGAAGAGTAAAACTGGTACTGGTAGAAACCATACAGAGAAATTCTTTAGATGGGAACACCACTCCAAATTCAGAGGGCGAGAGCTGTTGGATTTGCAGGTCCTATCCTTCCAACCCCACTCTCGCAACTCATCAGAAATCATCTGCAAGGTGACCTCCTTAGATTGCATAGAAATCACCGCCATGTTATGGATGGTGGGTGCATCCCCGACTACATACAAACCACCCTTGACGCTAAAGAAACCACATCAAGGCAAACCTTTTTAATAGTGCTTGAGCACATGCAGACTAGAACGGTTATTGTAGTCCACGGTTAGTTGGTTGTCAGCGTGATAGATCAAACAAAAGGGGAGGGAGTGTTGCATTACAATTGGAAGTGCCCAAGACGTGACATGCAAAACAAGTAAGGGCAGACGAACCAGATGAAGAGCCTAATCCTATAGGAGGAGCACCAGGACCCGAAAGAGGTGGAGGGTGATGATCACATTGCCTGAACTTTTGGTTTTTGCTGGGATACCCGTTGTTGTTGTAGCCGGAGTTGTAGCTGTGGATCTCATTGCGCCGGTTGGGCAAAGTTGTCAGCAGGGGTAGAGCTGCCACCATCGATGGGGGGAGAGCACGAGATCTCGAGGCAAGAAAATGAGAGGCACCAGATTTGCCCGCCTATGAGATCGAGGCAGCTGATTCCCCAAACTAGTAGCCGAAGAGGGGACGGTTGGCGCCTTTCGTTCCACCGCTGAGCTTCCTCCTCTTCCTTGTGTTACTCGTCCTCCATAGACCACGTCGAAGGTGTACCCTATGCCTCCTGCTCCTTGGCCACACACTCTCGCGCAGCTTGCTCTACCTCCAACTTGGAGCGCAGCTCCGCCTCATAGGCGAGAGAGTCAGTTGCCACCTCACTGGAGCCCTCCAAATGTCGCTTGTTGTTAGAGTTGTGGTGTTTGGACGACCCACATGAACGGTCCATGGCTATGACAACCACAAACGATTGTGAGAGAGGTGATGGAGGGGGAATATGGACCGGGCAACGGGGATGGAGTTTAGATCTACTAACTTCAGTGGCAGTGGCTGGAAACCCTAGACAGGGGTCAAGACACCCTTTGGGCACCCATAAATACCCACGGGGGAATGACGGGACTAGGCCAGGGTCACCAAGCATAACCACACAACAAAAACCGAACCAATATCAACACATCGCACTAGAGGGAGGAAGGGGTCCAAGGAAATGCAGTCCTAAGAGTTATAGTGCCCAACAAGCAACCCAACAGGTGGCCCCAGGTTCATCCCAGGCGGCCGACTAACCACCACCAAGCCAGCACCAGCCCCCACTAGGATTAGCAATGGAGATCGAAGAGGAGGCGGATCCGCCACCCTCAGATACAAGTTGCCGCCGGTGACAGGAGACGAAATCGGCGAGGGGGAGGGTGAAGCAGGAGTGGACAACGACGAGGAGGAAGACATGAACCAAGGATCCCCGAGCAAGAGGAAAACTTATTGAACGGATGAGAACGGGTGGAGACGATGAGCACCCAACCCTGGTCCACACCTAGCCGACGAGGCACCACAACCAGGAAGGTGGCTGCCGAGGGTGAACTTGCGGCGATGGGCGTTACCGCGGGCCAGCATCGCCACCCCAACAACCCTGCCGCCATCAACCATGACACTACCCGCAGAGGACTGCTCATCCTCTGAATCCCCATCCTTGGAGCCAAGCGCCCAGAAGCGGTTAGCAGCGTGGCCAAGCGCCTGGGAGACGGCAGGCCGTCAGAACCGAGGCCGGAAAGAAAGAAGGGAACGAGGGAACCACCACGCCAGCGGAGAAAAGGGCGGACGAAGGGGTCGGGGAAGGGGAAGTAACTGTATTCTTACTATGAATGAATGAACGAGCTCTCTTTATCGAAAGTGCTGTTCTGATCCCGAGCTCATGTGAGCTCAGCTGAACAGTAAAATAAAAAAAATTAATATAATCTGAATTTATTTTGTGCCAATCATTGACAAATGTTTTAATTGGTTGCAAAGTTTCATCAGCGGATGACATTCGTGAAAAACTTGGCTAAAAAATAACATTGATGTTCCAAAATGCTTTTGAAAATGTTATTTCCAAAATGGATGACATTCGTGAAAAACGCGGCAAAAAAATTGATGTTCCAAAATGCTTTTGAAGATAACATTTTGAAGGATTTTTTTTGCCATGTTTTCCATGAATGTCAGCTGGTGATGAAAATTTATAACAAATCAAAATACTTATCAATGTTTGGCACAATTTTTTTTTCAGATTTTTTATTTTTTTGGTTATACTGTTCACCGGAGTTCACATGAGTCGGGAACATAACAAAGGTGTTCTTAGAAATAGGGTGTGCAGGTGAACGTGTGTGTCCATAATATGAGTGTATGTGTGTGTGCACGTACTATGTTTTGAAAAACAATGTATTAATTTGTTGCATATGAGACTTATACGCCGTAAGGGCGTTACCGGCACATTGGCAGAACATCTGGCAGTGAAAGAAAAAGTAAAATAGGCAGGAGTACATAACAACGAACAGGTAAATCATCATATAACATGGATAATATATTACACTGAAGCGCCAGCAACACACAGGTGTATGCCGACTGATCATATCTGCACATACGAATGAGGCCTAAAACGAAAAAAGAGAAGGAAAAAAAAGGAAAAGGAAACAGCCCAGAACAAAAGGCTCATGGATCTCCAAAAGAGAAGATACAGGCCCATGATATGAAAAAGGACGCAAAAACGATAAAAGACGCATTATTACCACGAGACTTATCAAAGTAAGTAAATTAACTGCTAAGCACACCCAGCAACTCACCACGCCGCAGCACAACGGCGGGCGCAGAGGCGGTCGACACGGCACCGACGCGCACGTGATCATATCAGTAGTAGTAGGAAGACGACGAGCCCCCGAGCTGGAACCCGTCGGCACCGGCGTCATCGGCGGCCGGCATCGGCGAGAAGAGCGGGCTGTGCACGTACCCTTCCTCGAAGTACACCCCGTGGCCGCCACCCGGCGTGGAGGAGTATGCTCCCAGCTCGGACGCGTCGCACCACCCGCCGCCGCCTGCGGCATTGGCGCCGTTGCCGCCGACGCCATACATGGAGAAGTCCATGTCGCCGCCGCCGTCGATCATGGGCAGGTCGTCGGGCATGGCGATGTCGTCCATCAGCGAAGACATGTCAGGGGCACCGCCGTAGAGGTACTCACTGCCGACGTCCTGGCCGCCGCCACCAGCCGCGGGCTGATGCGTCGGCAGGGGCGGGACGGGGTCGGCGTAGAAAGGCTGAAGGAGCTGCACGGCGTTGTCGTCGGAGGTGAGGTCGGGGGAGAGGTAGGGGGTGATGGACGAGCCCGGGGGAAGATCGGGATAGGCGAAGTTGGTGCGGGCGCGGACGCCGCGGAGGGAGCGCGCGGCGCGGTCGTAGGCGACGGCGGCCTCCTCCGCCGTGTCAAAGGTGCCGAGCCAGTGGCGGTCCTTGGTGGCCGGGTCGCGGATCTCCGCCGCGTACCGGCCCCACGGCCGCCGACGCACCCCGAGGTACCGCGTCGGGTTGGAGTCCGGCTGCTGCTGCGCCGCCTGCTGCCGGCGCTTGGAAGATGACGACTTCTTGTCCGACGAGGAGGAGGACGAGGAGGATGAGGAGAAGAAGTAGGACGAGAAATTCATCTTCCTACTAGCTCGTGATCAAAACAGAGCAAGCAATAGAGACTGTGTGTGACTATGCGTTGGTCGTTGACAAGTGGAGATGAGAGAGATGGGAGGTCAGAGGTGGTTGAAATGGTGGTTGGATGGATGCTGCATGGGACGGTGTTGCATGGGAGTATATATAAGTGCGGGAAAGTGAAAAGGGTTAGTTAAGTGGGGTGGAGGTTGGCCATGACAAGCTCATTAACAGGATTAGTTAACAAGGTGATCCGTCGTTATGTGCTAGTACCGCTAGCCCCTTTTTTAATCAATCATTCGATCTTAGGAAATAATTAGTTGGAATATATATGTGGGTACACATATCATGCATGTAGATGGGGCGGCGAGGTGAGCTCGCCATAGTGATCGATCACAGGCATGCAGGGCAGAGGTCGCTTTGGGTTTGATTCTTTGTGGGGACGACCAAAGGTGGTCAACCCAATGATTTGGACTGGTGGGTGCAAGTAGGGCACATGGTTTTATATAGGAGTAACAGCATCTTCAATTATAGATGTGGCAAGTTAAATCTTGAGAACAATATTAATTCGTCCTCTCATGCGCCTCCACTTATTACTTACCTTTGGTTATTTTTCTTAACATGGTATAAACACAGATGCTTACATACTTGCACATACACTCATCCCTATGAATACATGTATCTTATCCTCATGAGCATCTTTGAGATACTAAGCCAGCAAAACATTTTATGATTGATACGGACACCTTCGTAATCAACGGGAACATTTTTTCTCACTAAACGAACATCAGTCCACTGTAAGAAGGCTAACAATCAGAGCTATGCTCATTTCGTACTACCTTTGGTTAATTTGGTTTGGTTTTATTGCATTTTACAAAACGTAAAAGGAGTGAAGGATCACCTATTCTCAAGTTATCTGCATGTGTTTCTCGAAGGTCAGTCAATCTATTTCGGGCGTTAGATGTACATCGGACAACTACATGTTAGAGCTCTTTTACGGTACCGGGTAATGAATACGGGCCCTCCATTCTGGAAGATCCAACGGCCCAAAGAGATATATACTGCTGGAATTGGTTTAGCAGTATAAAGACTGCACTGCTCGATCAACGTAAGCGGTATATGTGATTTGAGGGCAACTCGGGAAGATTTTTAAGTTTTAGCTCGTCAGATTGAGGCGCCCCACGCATTCTCCCTCGGCGAGCCGATCTCTCGTCCCTTCCTCGGCCAGCCTGTGCTCGTGGATCAGGCGCTTGGCGGCATGGCGCAGGTCTCGGCAGTCGGCACCCGACGTCTCCTGCGTACACCGGATGTGAGGGCAGAATGGCGCAGCTTCTCTTCTTCGGCAGGCCGGATGTGAAGTACCCTCATCCCACAGGTGACAGGCGCTGACGGATAATTTAGTGTTCACCTTTGTAGAGAGTTGGCCATGTCCAATGCAAATTCAGGTTTTAAGCTGCACCACTTGGTTCAGGCTGTTGGCAATTTCAGTGATGGGTTTGTTAGTTCCTAGCAGCGGCAGCTAGCCCCTTGGAAGAAAGTTTTTGACATCACTCAGTTTCTACGATGCAGCCAAGTATGGATAACTGAACTTCTAATCCATAACAAGGCGGCGGACGTTCGAGGCCTGTTGGAAGGTTACGGATTTGTGAGGCTACAAAAGGAGCATGCAGATAGCTAGATATGGATGGAGTGAACTAGCACGGCGGCGGTGAGGGGGAGTTAGATGGCCGGGGCGTGCAATATGGGAGACTGCGCGTCTGGATTGAGTCGGTGGCATTTTCTCTCGACAGTCGACAGCCATGACAGATTCCAGATACAAACTAATAACAGTTTGGTTTTCTTTTAATGTGAAAATTAGAGGTCTAAAATACCCTCAAGAATTGAACGGTGAGATTAGGTATATACTGCTCCCTTTTCCGTAGCAGTATAGGGTACCATAAAAAAGCTCACATGTTAACCATATGCAATGGTTGTTTTCGAACCACGCCGCACATAGAGAACCCAAAACTATGAAAAGGTAGAAATATAAAACGCTATAGAACAAGTGGATGACCCGAGGGGAAATATACCTTTCCCAGTACCGTAGTACCCCTGATGGCCGGCCGGCCGGCCAAATGCGGCATACCGTCGTGCATGTGGCCCGGCGGGAAGCTGCAGCCCACGACGTCCCGGTCCCGTCCCGTCCCCAGGCGCGCCCGCCACACAGCGCCAACGCGCTACACCGACCAGACACGCCGCGCATGCATGCGGCGCTTTTCCGGAGTCTCCCAGTCTGAACGCGTGCATGGCCGGCCGGCCATACGGCGTACGTATCACCAGTCCCGCCGGGCCTCGAATCGGGGATCTCCTCCTGGCCGGCCGGCCGCCCGCTCGATCTCCGCGGGTCCATCGGACCATCGCCCTCGTCTCCCTGTCCAGCCACACGTCAACCGACTTCACCGCACAAAGATCCGCGATGCACGACGTCGAAGCGACAATATGTGCAGCACGGCTGCTGAAAGGTGAAACCCCTTCTCAAGTTTGACCGAATGCAGCGCATGTGCATGCATGCACACGCGCCACCGATCTATACACAAAATGCCGTGCCAGGCATCGGATGCCGCAACACTTGGCCGGCCGGCCGGTCGTACGTCTCAAGCGTCTCGGCTTGTCATCTGGTACGTGTTACAAAAATTTGTACGTTGGCATCTGGTCGAAAACCGGCCAAGTGCGCCTGGGTCAGGGCTCAGGAGGGAGAGACGGAGGGGGGCCTGCGTTTCTTGTGGGGGTCCAACGGCTCACTGGTCAGTGCATGCAACCGCCACATTCAATTCTCGTTACATGGTGCATGTTTTTCTGTTGGAAATCAACGCTGTAGGATCCATATATCGTTTTTCGGTACACACACGGATGGAAGCGCCTTAAATTTCTAGTTGCATCTGCCGGCAGGTTACATGATCAACCGCCATGCATGCCGGCCAGTGGCTCGTCGGTCGATGGACCTTGTGCTTGTGCCTGTGGGCGCCACACTGCATATTGTACGATGCCATGTTGTCTTGTCACTCGGAGATTATGCGTTTCTCTGCTCGATCTCGATTTTGATTTCTGTTTCTGTTTTTATTTTGCTCTTGCCATCCGACATATGCAACCGCCATAACTGTTCTCAGATCTTCTGGTGGTCGATTGAAACGTCGGTCCTTGTCAGAAAATAATACACTACCTCTAATATAAATATGTACAAACAATACTAATACAAAGTTGGTGCTGGATAATTAATTATTTTCTTTGCCGTGTTTATTTTAATATAGTACAGACAAATACGTCCATACACACGCACACACATTCACATCTATAAATGCATGCATACGCACCTTATGAGCACATTCAAGAAACCGATCGACACATCATCTTAAGAATGACAAAGTTACCGTAACGTCTATGTAGTCAACGGGAAAGTTTATTTCATTGAACGAACATCATCGGGGTGCCTGAAATAAATCTAGAAAAATAAGAGCACTAGTGCCAAGTTTAAGACTGAAATTCTGATGGACTGGTTCCACCACAAAGAGTCGGTTCTCTTTGTCGTGTTTATGATTGAACTAAAAATGAAAATGAAAGGGCCTTTTTCCCCTTTTTACTAGTTCCTATATTAAATACTAAATTATGCTTCTGTCCGATATTAGTTGTTGCTGAAATGGTTGTATCTAGATTTAAGTGCAACAACTAGTTTGAGACGGAGTACAACTTAATTACGTTGAATCACTATTATTCGTTTTAGTTAATTCATTCATTCTCTCTGATGAGATAGATTATATTTATTGTGCGCTCCGGACACCAGAGGCACATAACGTGGGACGTCGTACGCACAACGAGCCCCAGACCGACCAACTCGTGGTCCTCCCATGCATATGTTGATACTGATCTCAACCAATTGCCACTTGCTCTCCCGGTCAAGGTCAAATGGTGTGGTGCTGCTACTTCTTACACTGTCGCTGCTGGTTCACATGCCATCTTAATTGCAACAACTTTTGGATCAGTGATCTATATACAATTAACAATTCGTAGTGGTGCGCTTCGGGGCCAAATGGATCTCGCAGTAGGACATGCTGATATTGTTGACCACGATGTATCCGGAATCCGGATCATGAGTTTTAATTCCTCTATCAGTACGTATGTAAAAAGTAGGCCATATACCTCTCCGATGTGCTTCCATTGATTCTCTAAATTCTAAAATGTGTTGGTTTGAATATGTGCGATCCTCTAAGGATGAGTGGAGGGCTTCTGACAAAACGAGTAAATAGCAAAAGACTACCACATTAGGCCTTTTACAATGGGAGATGCTTAGAAAAATAAATCAGGTTTTTCTGAAGCACCGGTACCTATTTCTACAGAAGAAACGCTTAGTTAAGCGTCTATCCTATACAAATAAGCACCGGTGCTATAAAAAAGTCTGGTTTATTTCTCTAAGCACCTCCCCTAAGCACCTCCAATTGTACAAGGCCTTACAGGCTAGGACAACAAAAAACTATCATTTTTTTATGTTTTAAAAAGCTACCACTTTTTTGGTTACCTGTTCCAAAAAACCCAAGTTGATGAACGGTTATGTTTTAACCGCGCTTATGACAGGTAGGGCCCGCCCGTCAGGATTCTGTCGGCTAGGGGCTGACGGTCGTTAGGGCGCGCGTATTTCGGCCAGGGTCAAAGAGCCCGAGCCGGCTCATTC